CTTCCCGCATCCTAGATCGGTGTGTATGTAGTTAGGTGTGTGTGTGTGTAGTTAGGTATTTTAGAGACTGGAGTAAAAAAAATTCCTTTTATTGTTTTGATTTAACTTTTAAACCTAAATGGAAAATTGCTATAATATATCTTTTCGACGCCAATAACAGGCACGAAATGCAAAATAAGAATAAAAAGTACTTGACTAATGTAGCTACACAGGGTGCACAGGGTTATTGGTTACTAACTTTAACAGTTGGCGGCATTTTTTTTGTCAAAAAAGTCAGCCTCGTTTGCGATATACAGGGTGTTCGAAATTCAAAAACGGGTTTTCTTATTTGAGGCGCTAGATAGCAAATTCTTAACATACGCGTGATTGAAGAAATGTATAAACATATTAAATACCATACTTTTTCCATATTAGAGTGTTTTGGCTACATCTAGCGCACTGAGTAACGTGTGACATGACGGAAAAATGTCAAAATACCAGAGCTAAAATGTACAGAAACTGATGCCTCGAACTGACACTTCCTCGCAATCGATCAGGGGAGAACAGGGAATAGAAAAACTCCTGGGGGAGAATATTACAAGGAACATTTTTTAACAACTTAAAGACAACTTTCTCTACATATAGATAAAGATATACAGATCGGACGAGGGAACAGCTGTGAGTACAAAAAGTACAAAAGTTCAGTAAGAGAAAGATACCAAAAATATTTTGGGTCTTGAAAAAATGGATTTTCTTTTTTTAGCCACTATATACTAAATATTAATCACTAAATACTTTATGAAAACACTTTACAAGAAAAGTTTTTCAACAAGATATATTTGTCTATATTCATTATAGTGGTAACGTATAAAGCACAGATCCTACGAGCTAGCAGATAAATACCGATAAAACAAAGTCGATAATGATGATTTGAAGAAAATAAAACTTTGTAAAGGATGCCTTCATCAAATAATTAATTAATCTTAAGAAGCTCCATTGTTGAATCTTATACCTATTAGGTATATTATCAATTTTATTGCAATAATTACATAAAATGGAAATTAAGTAGATACATATTTAAACTTTCAAATAAAAGAAAGTCAGAAATACATTTCACCGGAATTTTAACAGGCACGGCGCTTTCGCCATTTATTCGAAAGTACGTTGAGATATTAGTAAATTTTCTACCATAATACCTGTTTAAATTGCTACAAAAAAACCGACTAAAAGTTGAGCACCTAAACCGTCGTCATCAAGAAACAAACCTTTGGATCTCGAGCCGCTAAATTCGCCGTTGCGCGTCTCATTCAAATTCAAATTTCTTTCGCATAATAATCTACCTCTCGGCGAGATGAACACGCGTAAGGCGTCGCGCGAAGGGAAACTATAGGGGGCGAATTTGTCGAGAAAAAAAAAATATAGGTATTCCTGAAACAGGATGTTCATAATGGAAGCTCTGTCTAAGGCACTTTACAGATAAAAATAACAACAGCAAAAGAAGCAGGATAATCGAAATGAAAATTTTGATCAACGTTATTTAAAAAGACATATTTTGAATTGATTACGCATATTCCAACATATCGAAATGTTATTATTAATTTTTTTATCAAAATTCAATTATTATCAAAAGTGGTGCATGTTTGATAACCATTTCAGGTGCGCAATGGTTTCAAGTCAAACAATATACAGAGTATAAAACTACTTAAGAATAAAGTAACTATTTTTTAATCAGCTATTAAGAAAAGTACTTTAGACTTAAAAATTAACCTAAACCAAGAGAAGAAACAAAAATAAACAAGCAAGATTAAAAGAAACAATTTAAAATAATTTTCAAATATACAGGGTGGTTCATAAATACGTGGGAAATCAAAGGTATATTTTTTTAAATGTATATTATGGATTTAATAGGTACTCCCTTTCATATTCAATCACCCAATGTAGGACTGTTTTGATCTATACTGAGTGTTTTCAAAATCAATAGGGTACTCTTTATTCAAATTTAGCATTTCGAAACACTTCTTCTTAACAAGTAAATAATAATAGGCACATTAAAAACTATAACTTGATTACTAAAAGAAGAGAAGAGAAAAAGGAAGCCTTTTTCAATACATAGAAGTAATTAACAAATTTTACTTTGAATTTTCAGCTGTCCTTGGTTTCGTACAGTTTGAACGAAGCTTCGTATAGAAATTTAATCAAAAATGTGAGTTTATTGCTACTTTCTCAAGAAATTAATGAAATATTGCTGAACGACGCGAATATTCGAAAGAAAATATTATTATTTAAGCGAGAGTGAAATAGGTTTTAAAGGAAATAAACACAACGGCGAAAAAATGTTAATAATTCCGTTTAAAAAAAACCATTGGGGGACGCTACTGAGTTCTCTGGCCCGGACTGTGCCGGACTTTCGTCCGGATGAGCGATGACGGATTGCACTTGCGGCGCAACACACCCCTTTTGTACTCACAGGAGGCAAACCGTGAGGATCTGCGGGGGTAAAAAGGGGTTTGAAAATTCGTACCGTGACAAACACCGACGGCAACTCGACGGTAAAAGTTGGGAAAGGTTAGTTTTATTTTAGAACGTTTTGACGGCGTCCTGAAATATGCTTATGACCGTCAGAAATGTGAAAATCAGCTGCAGTGATGGATAACAAAACTTTAATTATATGCTCACCCCACCAGTTTTATGATTTCTTTGAATTGGAACTTGTTAGATTCAAGTAGTTCTACCAAGATCGCTCTTAATTAATTGATATTTAATTGGATGTCATTAAAATTATTTTGCACCGTGTGTTCCACTAAAAATAGCCCTCGATGTGTCGCAGGAAGTGCCTATCTAGAACAGTCACTATAGCGAATAAGAAAATTATGCCTAGGTAAATAAAGTGGTGAGCAAAAGTTTGATTTGCTTTTATTTAAATTCCAGTAACTCTGAATCGGACTTATCAAAACGCAATGAAGTCAATTTTATGTGTTCTGTCATTTTAATTATTAATTAGTAATCCGTACGGCGTTATTCTGTTATCAATACCCCAGCAAATTAGCCATTTCTTTCATACATTTTCTGAGAATGGTCGCCAACAAGAGCGCTCGCTACTAATGCGGCGTTTTAAAAATAACGTATATTTTTTCCAATATTGTCGGTTTAAAAAGATATCAAAATGCGGATTTCATCCACTCTTTGTGTTTAGCTAAAATTGCACTTACCGATGCATTTAATTTTTTTGGAACACGCGGAATGCTAAGCAAAGCAGCATCACCTAACAATTATTATTGTTACATAAACGATATCCAGGTAGTTTAATTACGATAATTGAATCGTGAGTTGTCAACGTTTAAGTAAAACGAGATCTTATCTTCCCCCACTACTTTATTTTGGTAGATGCGGCGTTATGGTCCAAACAAAGAAAAAATCTGAAATTTGCTTGAGATTATGAAGCCATTATTCCTGTTCGCTAGGCCTATTATTAGTAGGGCATCCTGTCCTGGTTAGCTTAGTCACTTCTACCCAACTTAATAAATGTAATGTTCTCCTCAATTAATGGATTACTTAGTAAAGAGACTTGACAATCGGGTAGTAGCTAATTAAAAAATATAACTTAAGTTGAAAATATTTGTATAGACAAAACCATTTTTCTGTCCCATCAACAAAAAATTCTTGAGTCAGTGTAGCACACCTTAATTATACAGAGATAAAAGGCTGAAAAAAAAAATGAAAAAAATTTACTAAAATTTGTGTTATAAAATTGTGAGGAAGTAAGCCTTTCACAAATATACTTGGTACATAAACATTACAAATCTTACAGATTTACAAATTGTGAAATTCCAACTTTTGAGCGCAGGTTTTAATTTTAGTTGAGTTACTACGAAAGCAATTATTATTAATTATATCCCTACTAATATGCAAGAATGGACGCCTAAAAAGAAACATTTCATGAAAAATGTGAGACAGAAACAGTTCGTAATTTTTTCGGTAACAACAATTTCAACAATAAAGAAATCTCGAAGGAAATAAAAAATGTTTCAAAAGAAACTATCATATTTTCATTTGAAAAAAGCTATGGCATCATGAAACACTTAAGCATGTTGCAACCCCGGCTGAGGGGCTCGACTGGAAACACGGGCGACACCTACCGTTAAAACTGAAAAACTTTTGATCTTATAGTGCCCCTAGTATGACATTAGTGGCGTTAACGACTCAACTAGTGAGATTTAAAAACGCAGTGTGAAGAGGGCGTTTCAGAGGTGAAGAAACCGTATAAAATTGTACCCTTTTTTTTTCTTCAAACGTCACGACGAACTGCCTTGGCGTTTATTTTAAGCCACCCATAGAGAATACAAAGATTTAATGAAATATTAGGTATGTTTGAGGCGGACGAAAATAATCCCGTGTTTTGAAAATGCAAAGCGCATTTTGTTTGAACGCTGTCTTATGTTATCGCGTTTCACTACGGAAAACAAGCTCGTAAAAACATTAATTTTAGGAGTCGTTGGTCAACAAAATTCGGCTCTTCGGCCGACGTAAACGTCGGGCAACGAAAACCGTTTTGCTCGCAACAATATAACAATTTCAGTAGGAATTGAGTGAAAATTATCAGGCTATTTTATCAACTCAATTGCACGATCAATTTGACGACTAATGACATAATTTAAAAATTTCGCCTATCTCGCGGGCAATTTATCGTTGTTTTCGTTTCGACTCGAGGATCTTGACCTCCGAGAGAAATTTAAATTGGCCCGGCCCTTATATAGAGGACGGCATACTAATTTAGTTGGTTCGCCGGTTCTCTAACAACACGAAATAGGCTAGTCGAACAGCTGATCGTCCCTCGCGCCGAGGCCCAAAGTGGAACGACAGAGCGCGAAAATTACCCGCCGCCATTAAGAGGACAGAGACGTAACGCCCGTGCATTCAACCCTGATTTTACACACACTTGACTCCGGTTTTGGGGGGTTTATTACACTTCTTTGGCCGGTGCCCCCTTTTTATTATTTATCGCGTTATAATAGTGCACTCACCTGCTATCGCCATCCACGGATAGAACGTGTGATTCGTCTGTTGGTGAATCTGGGTGCCTACAGGTTGCGACGAGGTCGTGTTTAACGAACAGTTGTTCCACGAAGACAAGGAGTTTGACGTTCTGCTGCCGGTTGCGGCTCCGGGACTTGTCGATGGGTCTCCGCCAACTAGACCGACGGACGACCCATAACTAACCCTCGAATCGGGTGTACACGCGGATGGACGCACCGGTCCCGTTAAACTATTTGCCAAATTGGCGGTTCCACCCGAAGCGGCGCTCTGCCAGACATCTTTTACTGCTGCCGCGGCTACCACGGAAGCGTAACCGTTTTGGTCCGCGTTTCCTTTTGAACAATCCGATTTTGCTGCGGAGTTGCTATAATTTATCGAGTTTTGCTGCGCGTCCGACGCCGAGTAAAGTTTGCACGCGGCCGCAGCTACGGATGCGTCGTAGGGTGAGTCTTGAGGCGGCCTGGCCTGTAAGGAATGTGCCGCGTGATGGTGTTGAGTTGACGCGTACGGAGACATCCCCAAACCGAGGGGGAAAGGCCTGTAGGCAGCTGCCGCGGCCGCCGCACTCTGGTGATCATGGTGCGTTACCGAACCGGTACCCTGATGATGGTGGCCTCCGTAGAAGCCACTCTGTTCGAAATAGGAGTTCATAATTGCCGCGTTAATTTTGCTGACTATTTGTGATCCCTCAAGGCTGAGGGATATCCTGTCCACGGAGAAGAAAAAAAAACCAAAACGAAAAAATGTCACGAGTCCGCGCGGGGTAAATAAACAAACACCGTGTTTCTGTCAATATTTTGCACTCGACTCACATAAAAATGCAAAACGCATCGTTGACGGTCACCGCCGGCCGTGTGTGGCAAACTCCCAATTTGACAGAACGATTATGGTTACGACGTAATAATAATAAAAGTGGCCGATAAAAGTTGGGCCGAATAACGCACGACTCTGTTCTGGCACACCGCGCGAATGTCGAGTCCGGAATGCTAACGTTAACTAGCTAGATCGCGGATCCGACTTCACTGTGCACTGGAGCAGACTCCGGCCCACGTTGCCTTCCCGGCCCATTCGCGCTCACGCTTTTCATCGCGCTTTCTCGCTCGCCTCCTGCTGCTCCCCCTCTGCCCCACTTCTTTGCCTCGCGCGCGCACACATACACACACGCAAGCAGGGAGCACGCGGCCGTAATAACAGTCCCGCTCATTATTACCTGACGCTAAAAACGCTACCTGTTTTCTTTTAGGAAAACCGCCACGGCAGGACCAAATTCGGATGTGCGTTTTTGTGGCTACAATCGGACCTTGTAGACCTCTAAGACAACGGCAGACTTTTTCCAGAGTTATATATATCAATTATGCGAAATTCGGGCTTAACCGACTTTCTTTTTTTTTTGCAATAGCGTAGCGACGAATATCGAGATAAGAACGTCCGCGAAATCCAAACGTAAACAAACGAACGCGGGAGAAAGAGAGGTCCGAGAATTCGGTGTAATAAAGAGGCGAATAACCGTACAATGGAAGGGATCATAAACGAACCAATGGCGGGGGCATTCGTCACGTAAGCTGGCGCCCACTTTGAATGTTGCGCAAGGATGTCGTGGCCCCTAACGTTCTCATATTTACCCTCCCCTCTCGGATCGGTCTGTCCTTGTCGCGCGCGTTGAGCTTTGAAGCGCGGGCTTCTGGCTCCCTCTATCTGTAAAGTGCTCGACTAGTGGGTAGCAGACACTTTGGGACTCTCGAATGGGCCACATCAGGGAATATTGCTCGTTGGATTCGGCCCGCAGCAGATAAAAACTCCCGTCTAAATTAATACTTGAAGTCGTTTGCGATAAAATCGGAGAAGACGGTTTTTCGCGTTTTTCCCGACATAGCAAAATGGTATTTTGCGATCGTACGGTGTGCAAAAACAATTTGCAAGAATCGGAAAAAGTTGGAGAGTAGCCGCGAGTGCTACATTTCAAAATGTACTCATGTTATCTTTCTAAATAATATGTTTAAATAACAACAACGATAAAATCCAAGTCGCGCCTACCAATTTATCACAATCAAAACTAGTTTTATTCATTTATACGGGGCAATGTAATAGCGTCAACGAATTAAGCAAAATCGTTTATAAAACGATAAAATAATTATTATCATAATTGGTCTAATGTGCAATAAAACGCTCGTAAAAGTTTTAATATCATTTTTAAAGCATAAACAAATCGTTTTGTTTTTATATACACACAATTCGCCACAACGAGCGTAAAAATTTTACGATGTTTGGCACGCGCCCGCCGCCATGTTTTACGATGTGCCGAAGCCATAACTTCGTTGACGTTACTATTGGTGACATTTACGATCACTCAAATGCCAATAAAACGTTTTCTTTTACAACTATATCTTTAACCTTCTTGCATACAGAAAGTGCCGAACAGAGATAATTTTACGGGTCCATAGTCGGTTAGTAAATGTACTTACTTCATTCATTTATTCATTCTCAGGCAGTCGATAAGCTCTTCGATTTTGATCAAATTTATTTTAGATTAAATTCAATGACAGGACTAAATAAATAAAGACCCATACGGATACAGAATATGGAAGAAAATAGGTGCTGCTAATATGTATTTATTATTTGCTGTGTATTGATTATGACAGTTATTTGTGATATTTCCAGTAGATTTCCAGGATTTCATTATTTTTCTAATTTGCAACACCGCTTGTTATATATATATATATATATATATATATATATATATATATATATATATATATATATATATATAAGCGCAGTTCTTGTATAGATATATCAAATCAAAAGCTCATATACATCAAAACAGAGATACTCAGTCAGAGAAGTTTTTCGAGAACCCAAACTACAACAAACAATAAGTTGCAGTTCTTTAATCCTCTTTCTAACGCAGTTAAAAATTTAAGCGTTTTGGTTAGTTTGGTTAAGAAGTAAATATGATATTATTAGATTGTGACTTCTAAGAATATTACTCACATACATTTTATGCTAAATTGGCATTCTTTCTTTTTTTTTTAGGTTTGGGAATTTGTATTATGTGTAGATGTAGATGTAGATGGATATCTACAAAACTTACAAACTCTGGAAACCCAACAATCTAGGCGTAGTCAGTCCTTATAATTATTATTCATTGTAATATATATCTCGACTTCATATTTATCTACTTAATTCAATAAATACTTCTATTACTATTAAGTACATTTAATCCGCAACTCTATAATATTTTTATTATCAAAGGGACGATATTAAGGCGTTTGACATTCGCAAACATTTCTTTCAACATTTCTACTTGAAAAGAATAAGTACATGTGCATGTGATAAAAATGAGTTGAACATTTGTAGCAAGAATATGCGTTTTTTTCATGAATGAATGTCAAAGTAGAAGATTAAAAATATTTCATTTTTTCTATTTTGGAATGGTGACCAAAATGTGTAAAATTGCACGAGCTTTCAGTCAAATATGTCACTTTTCATACACCAAACTTACAATAAACTGTCAAATAAACCTTAACTAAAATCATATAGTTGATCATTTTTTTCTAATACTAGTCCATTATACTAATAGTAGTATAAGACATATAGTATGGTAATATAGTTGTGTTCATTTGCCATTTATTTTTCTAATATTTCTTTTTATTTTACGTAAAAAGTATTTAAAGTGCTTCTCCATCATTTTCAAAAGTAAACAAAAATAATCAAAATTAAGAACGACAGCTAGCTATTACTGAAAAACCTTAGCTGTGTCTAACATTCGGTAGCGTACTATTGCCAGTCGCTGATTTCTTTAAAGCTTCCGACAAAAAGGTTCATTTTGGCTTGCCCGAATTTTATAGTGCTTTTACGAGCAACATTATGGCAAACATAATGATCACTTGTAAAAAGCTGCTGCTGGGTCTATTTAGACGGTTTTATGGGTTTTTATAAGTCATTATAAGACGAATGATCTGTTAATTTTATGGCAAAGCCCTTAGTTTTACACGGACATTTAAATATAATAAAATTTACGGGGCGGCTTTATGTGATTTTACGACTTGTATCACGCTATTAAAAACTCCGGGCCTGCGTATCATTTAATAGAACAGGGGAAGTAACGAATTTGAAAAGCAATTATAGTTTTTCAGATACACTAATTTTTTCAGTGAATTTGAAGAATTATTCTTAGATATTTGAATATTAAGAAAAGATTTACAATCGTTATACAATTTCTGTGAACAGCACTGCCGCAACTGCATTACACAGGCATTTCGAAAAATCTAGAAACTTATATCGACCGAGGTCTCATACATTCGCAGATGACATCTGTTTGCCAAAACATCTTGATTTTATTTCTTTTATGACAATATTAAAGGTAGCCCTCCATTGAAAGTATCTGTTGTATGAATGTTCGACTTCTTTTCAAAAAGCCCCCTTCTAGTAGTCGAATAATAAGCTTTACTGTGATTCCCCCATTTTAACCATTTTACACTGGAGTGGTTCAATGTGCAATAAAATATGAAAATGTAGTATTTTTTTACTATTGCGATTTTAAAATTTTTAAAATGCCAAATATTTTTCCCCAGTAAACTACAAACAACATACTGACGATCTGCAACGCATTTTCAAAGAATGCGATACAATGTAGTCGCAGTGGTTTCAAAAACAGTTGACAAACAAAATAAAAAATTTGAAAGAACAGCTTGGGCTGGTCAATAGTAGTGTCGATTAGTTAAAACAAATTGCAAATATACACAAATCTTTGGACTAGTGTGTGAGGCGCATGTTTTAAATTGTTGCACTAATATAGGTTATCTTAATTTGATATTTTATTTTATCCACATGTTTTTGGCATTAGAAGTGTTTATAAACTTCTTCATAAAAATTTTATTTGGGTGCAATTTCTCTTTACATTACTTTATTGCAGTTATTATTATTATTATTATAGATAACATCGTTTCAATGTTAGATATCAATTTAGAACAAAATTGAAATTATAATAATAACATTATTTAACTAGTTCTTGATCGAGTTCTCGACAAAACTTTTTAATTGATTAACTATTTAACAAACGTAACTATGGGCGAGAAAGTAAGTAAAATATATCTAATGATGTCAAGTGTTCGACTTATTATTTCTACAATTCATTAGAATAATCCAACAAACACCAGCAATAATTTCTGCCGTTAAAACTTGTTTCCACTACTAATAAATATCCGAAATTCCCAAATCCCCATTAATTAAACAATTTAAGTGACAATATTACTATTATATGTTGACATCACGTTATACACTGACGGACATTTAATTAACAACCGCGCCTCATTATTTATTTATATTATGCAAATTTCAGTGGCAGCGCCCATTAAAGACAAATTAACTGAAACCAGTCGTAAATCGACAAGTAATTGCACGTTTGTACGTTTAAAATGTTCGCTAAAAGCGCGGTCTAAATTAAACTCTGGCTCGGGAAAAATCCATCACTCATTTCTAGGATTTCTATTATAGTTTTGTCAATGTTTTTTCACGCGGAAGTCAGCAAAACCGCAGAAAATGTCCCATGCACTAGAATAATACAAAACTGGCCCAAGACAATTCAGACAGAGGATAATTTAATTATAACAAGAATAAATAGTATTGAAGCTGATGTTACGTGAAAGCATTATTGACTGAACCTGCGCTGACGTCACCTCACAGTAGATACAGTAAATGAATTGCGATTTCAAATCTTGTCACCGTAAATGTTACGATATCCACAATAATAATTCCAACCTCAAAAAGAAAATTATTATTAATTAAAAAATTATCTTCACATCTTCAAAATTATTTCCGGTTTCTTTATTGCAATAATTAATCGTACACATATGCCATACTTATCCTCTAAATCTCAGTAATGAACAATAACAGTTAAAAGTTATTAACCCGAGTCTACATAATTTCAATACATTCGTTGTTCGACAATTATTTACTGTCCTTTGACGTCACTGGAAGCTATATTTTGTTCTCTACAGAGTATCCGA